ACTCAGTTTTATAATTTCCCAGCCATGACAAACAACTTGATCATAACTTTCATATATCTTGTAAATTGATTTACTCAAAAAAAAAAAAAACAGTTGAGGTACCTACTTACCTATTTAATTATTCAATATTTTTAAGTATTGCCTTAATGACCAAAAAAGGTATTCTGAGATCATTTCATAGATACAAACAGAATAAAGAACTTTTCTAAAAGGTACTTCCACAATATGCTGAAACGGCAATAAATCTTTCAATTTTTTTTTAACAAAACCTCTAAAAATTAGTTACTATTTTATTTAGAAAGAACCTGTATTATAAATAAATAAAAAATAAACAAAATGGTAAAATGAACATTAATTAATGAAGATTAATTATATTTATAGATATTTTAAATTCAAATAGATTTTTAGAACACAACAATGTTTTAAGAGTGATAAAAAAAATAAACATACATGGCTACATTTACTTAAAGAGTCCATTGAAATATACATTAAAATAGGAAAACTGTTTTTTTTTTAATCTAGTTGAACACAGTCACCACCAATGAACCAAAACTACAACACTAAATGTTCATTACAGGATTCACTGAAAACATCAACATCATCAGGTGACTATTGTAAATAGACAATAATTAATATGTAATAATTTGTGTGTAAGTTTAAAATTGTTAGTTTTTCTCTATAGGATATTCTGAATATTCTTAGTACTTTTTATTTATGTCAAACACCCTTTGAATAATGTATTCTGTAATAAAACATATTTGATTTGTCTATAGTAGGCATAGTACCCTCAGCTAATTTTAAGCAAATTTTATCCTAAACACTTGGTGGTACCTATGCAATATAAAGTACCTACCTACACAATAAAAAATTGTAAAAATGATTTTATACCTTATTCCATTAGTAGGTACTGCAGTGTATTTGAACTCTGATTTACTTCCCTTATAAAAAGAATAAAATGTACTGGTATAATACTGTTTCTGATTATTTATAGACTTATAAACAGGTTATTAAACTACCTATATTTCCAAAGCATTACTGATAAAATCATTTAAATATGTTAATTGTGTAAACCTAATCTGAATTAATTTATAATTTATTGTACAGAGAACAATGCTTACCTTTGATTCACGCACGGTAAAAAATCAACATTTATATTATAGTCTACTGTAGAAAAACAAATAATCTTAATAAATTAGAGAATACCAAATTATACAGTAGATGTTTTCACTACATGTAGAATTGAAATCAAATGGATACTTTTGTGATGTGACTAGTACTTATTGCATCAATTAATCATGTAATAAAAAAGAGTTAAAATAATAATTAATAGTCCTTACCTAATTACATAGTATTCATATTCTAGCAGGCAGAACAATGCAAATTCGCATTATCCCACATACATACAACACTAGAAAATTGATGTTTTTAAATGTTTGTATATATATAGTCACCTTCCGACGATTTGAATCATAGGAACTAATCTCACTCACTTCGTTTACCTTTTAAATCTTTTAAATGTAATAAAAATAATGTAATTTAATTCACCGTACAATGCACAAAGCGAGTCTTGTCATCTGTCACACCACACGACACAACTGTCAGTGGTAACTGTTACGAAGTTAGGCACTTAAGCAGTGGGCACACCCTAACACCAGTTTCACACACACAACGGCGCGGCCAGCGGCGTGCACCGCCTTCGATTTGATTAAAAAAAAAAACCTTTACGATCTACCAGGAAATACCACATGAAAATACAATTTCTGGAAAGTGTTTATCCCAGAAATTAATGTTATATCGGCGAAGATCGGAAAAATATTATCATAAATCGTCAAGTTCTTTTTTCATCACAAAATTGCATTTACATATAAATGCCTATTACAAAATAATTTATTTAGGACCGATTCCACCGTTGTGTTAAACGAAGTTTAAAATTACATTTTTAAATTTAACAATGTCATTTTAATCTCCGTTTAACACAACGGTGGAATCGACCCTTAGTTATTGTTATTCGTAGGTACTATATATAGTTTTAGATTTTCAGAGCCGTTTTATAAAGATCACTGTTAATAGGAACCCAAGGGTAAATGGTCGAGTAGGGAATAAGATAGGAACTATGGGTTTATTCTGGGATCTGGCTTCTTCAAAATTTACTGTAAACCGTTTGAGATTCAGTAGTAGTAGTACAGTTGAATACCAAATTATTTGTCGGATTTCAGATGAAAATTTTAAACAATCCGCTGATGAGCAACTATTTTTTTATGGTCAACATATTTTTAAAGAACTAGAATAAGTGATTTTTAATTAGAAAATTCCCGCCCCTGGTGGGATTCGAAGCTTGGACATAGCTTACCATGGTAAGCTATGTCTTGGACCTATGGGTCCAAAAATTCAGGCCCATATAGCACTCAGAGCTGGATGCTCCCGTGTTCAATTTTTGTTTGCCACGCGCATGACGTCACGCACAGAGTAATAAAGTGATTTTCATTTTCTCGTCAAAATAAGGACCGCCCACGATGCGCAACATTGTATCTTTAGATGAGTATATCGCTCATCTTCTTAAATTAATTTTAACAATTTCACCGCACTGACCACACTCACAGGTGCGTATTTATAAACAGAACTCATGCACCTGAGTCGGACTTGGGTAAGTCGTCCTTGAACTAAAATAATCGAAGTTCTGTTACAACGTCTCTAAAGTTCCAGATGGTTCCGGTGTTACACTAGAATTTAGAGACGGAAATTAGCAAATCTGTAACTGATATGTACATTTACAGACTTGTTACTACCCATCTCTAAATTCACGCGATATAACCGAACTTCGATTTTCGTTCAAGGACGACTCAGCGAAGTCCGACTCAGCTGAGTTCTTAAAATGATTTTTTGATTAATACACAGCTGAAACAAATGTACCAATAATAATAGCGCGTTATTAATAGCTTTGTTCGCGGAGCCTGTCAGCAACATGTCCACGACAGATGAGCATGCGCATTTCGATTTTAAGCGTTCGTAGAGCCGAAAAACGAACACTTAAAACAGCTTAAAATCGAAATGCGCATGCTCATCTGTCGTGGACATGTCGCCGACAGGCTCCGCGAACAAAGCTAATAAAAAATAATATAACTTATCGTAGTACGCCCGTGGGAAACATGACGTAGAATGCTCGAAATTGACAGTCTGGCGCCCAAATTGTCATGCGCACTGACCGTTTTTTTCATCTATGTTGGCTTAGAAATTAGGGGTAGGGTTTATGTCATATAGCGCGAATTTTTTAAGGGTCGATTCCACCGTTGTGTTAAACGGAGATTAAAATGACGTTGTTAATGTAAAAATGTCATTTTAAACTTCGTTTAACACAACGGTGGAATCGGTCCTAAAACATCGATCTTGACATCAAATGATAGAACAGAAGTAAAAGTTGGTAATGCTTTTGCCAGTTCTCCCACTTTATACACATAAATTGACAGGTTGGCAGCGGATCTCCCCGAAGTGGACGCGATACATTGGCGTACAAAATTATTTTATAGATGTTAATAACAATTTCAAGTAAATAGTTTAATAAATTGTGAATAGCTGTTGAAATTTTGTAAAATTATAATTTGAATATTATAATATATGTTTAATAATTATTTATAGTCCATAAATACATGCGATTGTCCGGTTCCGCCGATAACAATGTAAAATTACTTATTCTATGAAACGACACTGGCAGGTAAACATTAGTGTGAAATTCTCGAAGCCGCCCGACGTGGTTTGACGTTTACCCCCTCTCTACCTACCAAAAGATTTTTCATTTACTTTCTCTATACATCGAACGTGCATCGAACACAGACTATCGATATTGTAAAAAAAATCGCAAAAGAAAATATCGATTTTTTTAAATATCGATGTTGGTTTTTCCATACATCTCAGATAAATAAATTATTTATTTATCTGAGACATCGATGAGTCTGTAAACATCGATGTTTTCCAAAAACGTTCATTGAAGACCAACAAAAAAGGAATTCAAACCATCAATTGAAACGTGACGCTTAACCAAAATTCACCGGGCCAAAAACCAAAAAAACATTGAAAAGAATATCTTCGATGTTAATTGAAAAATCGATGTTAACAAATAACATCGGATAAAAAAAACTCGATAATCGAAACATCGATGTTTTTTAAAAATCGATACATCGTGCGCATCGTGTCCCTACCATGGAGGCAGGATTAGAGATGTTCGATACATAGAAAAGTATCGATACTGCGTATCGATTCAGATCGAAGTTTAATGTATCGATACACTTTAATATCGTAAGTACAGGTATCGATACTCAAAATATCGATATTGGGTCCTATGATTGAACGTTTATGTTATCCATAACGTACATGTTAGGTCGAATTTTAACAGTAACGAAGCAAGTTTGTATGATGGAAAACTGTTAAATTAGAACATAACAGAAGGAAAATAACAGTAATGTGTTGGAAACCGTTTTTCATCATACGAACTTGCCTAATTACTGTTAAAACTGAGCCTAACATGTACGTTACGGATAACGTAAACGTTCAATCATACCACCCATTGTATACTAATGTACATGGTACAAGTAAATTAATTTTAAAATATTGATGTAAAATAATCATATACGGAAGCATAAATAGATTTTAAGATATAATTAAAAAATATATACAGTATTTCAACCAATGTTTAATATCTTATATCCATATATGACAGTTTAAATTCATAATTAGTGATGAATAAGTGTTATTTTATTTTCGATACGATTTAACATATACATGTATCGATACGGGATATTTTTAAGTCATAGAATATCGATACAAAATATCGAGTTTCCAACTCCTGAATATCGATACTGTCAAATATCGTATCGAATCGCACATCTCTAGGCAGGATATCCCTACTCCCTAAACATATTTGTGCCTTGTGCATATTTGATATTTGTTTTGATTTGATTAGAGAGAAGGCCGAGAAGGCTCTGGATTTGATTACACGAAGAAAAGAAATGAGGATAAAATTGAACAATTTATTTTATATCAATATTATTTTATTATGTTTGCCTACAGCTGAGCTTACTCTATCGCGAAAATCTCCAAAAAGTAAGGAAAAAGATAAAGAAATAAAAAATAATATAACCGGAACCGATAATAAAGTAAGGTTAGGGCCTCAGAATTACAATGTTTTTAATAAAAACTTGGTCAGCGAAAATCCTACGTCCCAAGAAATACTTACGAACCATAAAGGATTTTATAAAGAAGTAGATGATTTTAATTTCCCAGGAATGGTCTTGGGGTATGTAACACCTTGGAATAATCATGGATATGATATAGCCAAGATATTTGGAAACAAATTTACTCATATTAGTCCAGTTTGGCTTCAAATTAAGCGTACAGGATTCGAAAAATATGAGATATCAGGTACACATGATGTAGATAAAGATTGGATGACAACTGTGAAAAATGCTGGAAGGGAAAGAAAATTAAAAATTGTTCCTAGAGTTTTATTCGAAGGTTGGACAGGACAGGACTACACATATCTCTTATCTAACAAAGAAGAAATGCAAGCTTTGATTAAATCATTTATTCAAACAGCCAAAAAATACAACTTTAATGGTTATGTATTTGAAGTTTGGACTCAGTTGGTACAAGTACTTAAATTTGATGTATTAGTTAATTTTATTAAAGAGTTATGTGACTCTCTTAATATTGAAGGATTGGACTGTATTCTAGTTATACCTCCAAAAAGAGGACAGGAGGAACTGTTTACTGATGAGCATTTTGATGCTTTATATGATCATGTTACAGCATTTTCCCTTATGACGTATGACTTTTCAAATCCAAGAGCACCAGGTCCTAATGCTCCGTATTCCTGGGTAGAAGATTGTATTAGTTCATTGAGTTCTGAAAGTTCAAAACGTTGGAAGATACTAACAGGTCTAAATTTTTATGGAAATGACTATCATCAATCTGGTGGGGGACCAATTGTCATGAACGAGTATACTGAGAGGTTGAAAATGTTTAATGGTGTGTTACAATATGACCCTGACACGGCAGAGCACTTTTTTGAATACAAAGATAAAAATGGAAAGAAGCATGTAGTTTTTTATCCTACTCTACATTCAATCAATCATAGATTGGAATTGTTTAAGAATTTAAATACTGGAGTAGCTATATGGGAATTGGGCCAAGGATTAGATTATTTTTATGATTTATTGTGATATTTGTAAAGACTGTTTATTAATAAAGTGTTTTTTTTTTGTTTTGAAAATATTTTATTCTAGAATGAATGCATGGAATTTGGATTGATTATAAAGTCTTAATTAAATTAGGCAAAAGTCAGAAAAAAATTTAAATTTACAAATATTAATTTTTGTGAATAATATAATAAAAAATTGCATTAGATAAGGGTATATCAGCTTGAGGCCTGTCATTTTAAGAAAATGAATCTTAGGTCGACTACATTAAATCTGTATATTGCCAATAAAATAATTTATATTTGGTACCAACAAACAGCTCTGGTTGACTTTTTGAGCGTGTACATTGAATAGTTTTCGCCCAACACATTGTGGGTTTTCAGACTGCTGTATTCGAATTACAAACATATAGTCCAAGAGCCCACTGCAAATTTCGACCGTCATCTGATAACGAAATGAAATATGCTTCAGAGGCATGTAAAAATATTGTACATCGGATAGCTTTTGATTAATAGAACTTAAAAATGTACCTGTGCCACCTCTTTTCCTGAGCCAAATACTTGGCACGGCCTATTTATTCAGCCAAAATTCTCGACAATATTCCGTCATGTGATAACGAGTTAAAACAATATGCATTCGAATGGGCATAATGTCCCATTCAGGAATATCCGCATGTGCCACGTTTTAACCTGAGCTAAGTTGCTGGCACAGCGTAATTTCTGAGACGCGCCTCGCCCAACTAATTTATTTCATATATACAAAAAATCACATAAGCCATGACAACGAAAATTATTTGTATTGAAAATTACATTCCTAATAATTAATTGTAAACTTATTACTGAAGCCTTGGTCTGTATCATAATTTTAAAGGCTTTTTAACAGACTTAAAATAATAAGAGGAGATACTCATATTTTATTTTTTTGTATTGTTCACTGATAAAGCTATACCACGTTGTCCGATTTCTATGATTATTTTTTGTTAGAAAAGGGGACACCGGGTTAATCATATATAAATTTGATCAACATCTGATATACACGAGAAAATAATGAAATTCTTCGAATAACAAAGAAAGGTTTTTAAAATTACTTTTATTAATATAATATACAGGTTTATTATTTAACAGAATATCTTTTCAGGTATTTATTTAGATATATTTTATTACTTTTTATATTTATAAAAAAGTGTAACTACAAATTGAAAATAGAATTCAATACGACGATGATATAGTTATATTCTGAAGTCTTCCAGAAAATGTATTAAAGCAGCTGTACTCAACCTTTTTTTCTTTCGGGCCACATAAATTTGTTTGTAACACTACACGGGCCACAATATTTTTGGGTGATAACTAGAGCTAGTTTTCATCTTTTTGAAATGTAAATAAAGGACAATGGGTGACGGTAGAGATCCGGTATAAATATTTTCTAAAAAAAAGTTTCTCATGTTGTTTTAATAAGCTTTGAAACGTCGCAAGACAATTTGTTTCAAAAAAGGACTGTAGGTGAACCATTTAAAATTAGTTGGGATCATTAAAACACAAAACGATAAAAATATTAGCATGATATATTTATCGCCTAATGTTAATGTTTTCACGCATTTCGCTTAAAATTTTAAAAACAAAAAGCAATAGTTTTAAAAAGCACTCTCGATAATAGTGTTTGGGGCTGCACAAAAAAGCTTGGAGGGCCGCATAAAAAAGCTTGGAGAGCCGCACAAAAAAGCTTGTAGGGCCGCTCGCGGACCGCAGGTTGAGTGTATGGCTGTATTAAAGGTATATACTTACTAAGGATTGTTAAATTATTTATTTTTAAGTACATACATGAAAAAATTAAATCAAATAAATATGTATACACAAACAATTTATCAATACTAAAATACATTATTATTAAAAAAAAATCCCTTTCGCGACAAAAAAAAAACATTTAATCTTTTCCAACAATTTTAACATTTACTCATCATCTGAATCTGAAAAAACTTCATTCAAATAATTTAACTCATTCAACTCGTCGTTATCGACAATATTTTCAATATACTTTAAGACACCATCGACTTTCAATGGCGGTGGGTCTGCCTTGAACCACACTGGTTCCAAACGTTCATTTAGGTCCCAACCGCATACTTCAACATTTAATTTTTTAATTTAGAACAATTTGCATCTGCAGTGTTTTGCCACCTTGAATTGATGTACACTGTACGCAAGATCTTTTGTTCCATAGTTCTCCAACATGGCGGAATAAGACTTGAATCCAACCCTTTAATTGTTTGCATAAAATGCTCGTTTTTACCATTTTTTGGAGAAAACAGTTTTTCAAACAGTTGCAGCTAAAGAAAAAGGCCAGAGACAAATATCATGCAACGAAAGTGTTGATAAGTCAATTACAAAAAATAAAACAACAAAAAACAAAGAGAACCAAGTGGCCAAATGAAATACAAAAGCGAGAGAACACTTAAAACGCCTTCAAGTAATACAACAAATTACTCCACCGAACTCTCTAGTGACTGCAGAGAACTCCAAATATTAATATTGTAAGAGGCAGAAGACGATCAAAACTTTATATAGATAATATGAGACTGCAATTAGAAAATAAAATGCTGATTAGAGAAATTAATAAGTACAAGATGCGGGCATATCGAGCCCAAAAAGATATGACCGGCAAGGTCATTTCGTCAATTACCAATGCTTCTCCATTATCAAAAACAGAGCTGACAATTCATAATGCATACCGGGAATTAATAGTCCAGGTGTGATAAAGTTAAAAAGCAATTATTTAAGTACAATGTGTTAACTCATGCTCTATAGTCTGAATATGCCAAAATAACGAATAATTCTGAAAAATTAACTTTTAAAAAGCAAGAGGATGGGGAAGTTAAGGTTATGTTTTTAAAAAACAGCCGATAGTGGTACGAAATTCATATCGGATCAAGATGACGTATCTTACATTTCAAACGAACAAATCTTGGATATTCTTGAAAAACCCACAATAAAATTAAACAGCGATCAAATTTATTATGAGTTTAAAAGACCCATCGAGGTTTTTGAAATCTAGTTCAACTATTTTAATGTTATCTAGATATATCTTTACTTTTTAGTTTGTTCCTATTTTTTTACGATTGTTTAATTATATCAAAGTTTTTTAAGTTGAATTACCATTAGAGTATTTTGTAAACTTACTGAGTTTTTTACATTCGGATAATTTTAGAAAAAAAGTTCTTTGTGTGTTAATTTGTTTATTATTTTTCCTATTTATTACCTTTCTGTCCACTGTATTACAAACAGTCCATTGAGTTACCTTATTTAATAATGTCTGTAAAATAAAATTAATTAACTAGAAGTAATAAAACGCACTTGGATATCTTTAATAGCATTAAGAATAATGTCCTAAAATTATTATATGTAAAATATTTACACTAATGGTTCCATTTTAAACAAATATAGACTCTGTTTTTGAGAAAAAGTAACAAAGTGGACATAAAAGTTGAAAAAAATAAAAAAAGGAATCTGTCACTATATCATTTTATTACTTTTAATCACCATGGATTATCGGTGTTTTCATCAAAACTTAAAATATGTACTATTTCTTCTTAGACCCGGTAGATATTTTTGACGAGTTTCATAAAAGCAGGTTTTATTTTTGTACGCATTGACAAAAAATTTCAAAAAACTCATTTAAAAATCAAAAAATTAGGTGCTAATAATAGGTTCCTTGAATTAAATATATTAGGATTATATTATAATCAAAACATTCATAATATGAAATAATAAAAATGACCCATTAAGTATTGAAGCATTCATTTACAAACACCTATATTTTTGATAATTTCAAGATTTGTTTACTTAAAATTGTGATTCCTTTTTATAGGTTGTCATAGAAACGTCAAAAAAACTGCCTACTATGATTATAGTTCAAAAGATAAAATTAATATTTCAGGTATAAAAATTAATGCCGTACCTATTTAATTCTATTTTACAATAGTTTACTTGTTTAGATAAAAATAGTAATCAAATTTATCTAAATAAATACCTGTTAAGTTATTTTGGTAAATAATAAACCTGTATATTGATAATTATTAACAAGTTATAAAAGTAATTTTATAAATCGTACAGTTGCCTATGCAAATTAAAGAGTTTGATAATTTTCTCGTGTATCCCATCATCAGACCTTGACCAAATTTATATGTGACTACCATTGAGGTACTCTCTAACAAAAAAAGAATCATGGAAATCAAACAACGTGGTATAAAATTATCGCTGAACGTACATAAAAAAATTACATTCCGACGATTTGAGAACCTTCTTCTTATTTTTAAGTCTGTAAAAAAAATATATAAAATTGGAACACATATCGAGAATTCACTACTATAGGTTCAAAATTAATTATTAGGATTGTAATTTTCAATACAAATAATTTTCGTTGTCATGGCATGTGATTTTTTGTATATATGAAATAAATTAATTGGGCGAGGCGCGTCTCAGAAATTACGCTGTGCCAGCAACTTAGCTCAGGTTAAAACATGGCACATGCGGATATTCCTGAATGGGACATTATGCCCATTCGAATGCATATTGTTTTAACTCGTTATCACATGACGGAATTTTGGCTGAATAAATAGGCCGTGCCAAGTTGGCTCAGGAAAAGAAGTGGCACAGGTACATTTTTAAGTTCTATTAATCAATAGCTATCCGATGGTATAAGTCTTATCTCGTTATCAAATGACGACATTTATCGCTAATTATGACACCGGAAGGGCCAGTGTTTTAACTATTTTGCTCAGGATAGTGATAGGCACAGGTGCCGTTTGGTAAAGTACAATATTTTTACATGCCTCTGAAGCATATTTCATTTCGTTATCAGATGACGGTCGAAATTTGCAGTGGGCTCTCCTGCTAATAGATCAAGTCTGGCTTTATTTCTAATGTTGAAATTATTTCTCAATTAATTCGGAGTTTTGATTTTCTCAATTCATTATTTTATAAATATTGACATGTAAAGTAAAATTATATAATTATATTTTGAAAAAATAAGAA